TTTTAGATGAGGGTAGCGACTCCTGCCCCACCTGCACACATGCACACACATCTACCCCATTTCTGACTGTGGTCCCCTCGGCCCTAGGGTGTTTGGGATGTTCCGCCAAGCCAGTGACCGAGAGGCCGTCTACGCCTGCTTCACCTTCTCCCACTGGCTGGTCTATGCCAACAGCGCAGCCAATCCTATCATCTACAACTTCCTCAGTGGTGAGTGGGCTGGGGAGGCGGGGCGACCGAGGGTGGCAGCGGTGCCCAGGACAACAGGCTGCCAACCCCCAATCCAGGCTGAATAAAGGGATGGCCCCTAATCCCTCCTGGGGATCGTCGTGAGCTTGCTCTGGGAACCCGCATCAGGAAAGACTCGGCCCTGCCCAGGAGCCCTGGTCTGAGTGGAAGGCGGGCCTCACTCCCACCGGCGGCCCGGATCCAGTTGTACAGATTATGCAGACCAGTGAGGGGGTGGGAAAGGCAGGGGCTAGGCCAGCTCACCTCCACCCCCGCCTGGTGCCTGCACAGCGGGACCTCCAGTCGGCCGGTCTGGCCAACACAGGCTCCAGAAGGAGCCAGGCCTGTGGGAAGAGGTGCCGGGAGTGCCTGCCTGGGAAGGTGACTGTGTAACTGAGTCATCGGGGGAAGGGAGGGTCACCAGCAGAGACGGCCCAGGGCCAGGAAAGGGTTTCCCTATGCCCAGCTAGACAGGTACAGGCAGAGTGGCCAGAATACAGAGGGGTTTTCCCTGGATCCACCTGCCCCCAAGACCAGCCATCTTGTCCCCTCTCTGGAAGTCCCCGCGTCTCCACTCCCCCAGCCGTACCCCAGGCCACTCCCCTCTGCACCCCTCGCTGGGACCTCTGCACCCCTCGCTGGACCTCCCAGTCCCGGGATGGTAACACCTCCACCCTCGGACCCACCTGGGTTCAGCAGAAGAGTGGCTCACAAGACGTCTGGCCCCAGAACTAGGCATAACAAACTGGTCCAGATGGCTGTTCAAGCCTGGGCACAAGTAATCTTTGAGAAAAGGTTGAAAGGCTGAAGAAGGAGGGGCCAGGGGTCTGTACCACAACCCTCATTGAGACTGAAGAAGTATTCCCGGAGCTCAGAGGGGAGAACAGAAGAGATAAGGGCTGCGGCAGAGGCGGCAGCAGACTTCTTGCTGGGCATTTCCTGTCTGGGTTGCATTAACTGAGCACCTACTGTGTGCCCAGCCCTCCACTGGGGCCCCACAGAAGCATGGTCAAGGAGGTTTCTGCTCTGGACATAATCTATTTCCCTGGTGTCCCTTGGCTGACCGAGGTGGCTGTGGTAGTCCCTCCTTCCCTACTCTGTCCTCCCCTTGAAGCGAAGGGCTCTGGAATGAGAACCAGGCCTGAACTCTGGCTGGGTGACCTCGGGCAAGTCTCTGCACCTCTATGCAGCTCCCCTGTGAGGTGAGGATAAAAGCTGCCAGCCTCTCAGGGTGCTGGGATGAGAGGGGGGCGGGGGGGAGGCAGGGGTGCCTGGCACCGTGCTTTGTGCAGGCTGCTGCTGTTCTTTCCATCACCATGGGGCACAGGTAGGGAAAGCCTAGCCCCGGCTGGGGGGCCTGAGCCCCTCCACCTACTCGCCAAGGAGGGCAGAGGTGGCCCCAGGCCCCTGAGCCAGACACCACGTTTTAAGCCCGGCTCAGAGCCAGAGCGCAGTCAAGGAATCAGATGAAAATTGCATTTCTCCTTGGGAACTGCTCCAGGGCCTCTGTCCTCACTCTCCCTGGCAGTGACGAGGTCGCCTTCGGGCTTTCTCCATCCCAGCTCTGCTCCGCCCTCCCGCCCCCTCACAGGCAGCTTGGCTGGAGCTGCGTGGGTGTCCCTGGGCCCAAGGCCCTTCCTGCTTCGTCCATCTCCTTATGGCTGTGTCTTCTGTCTCCAACCAAGGCAAATTCCGGGAGCAGTTTAAGGCCGCCTTCTCCTGCTGCCTGCCTGGCCTGGGTCCCTGCGGCTCTCCGAAGGCCCCCAGCCCCCGCTCCTCTGCCAGCCACAAGTCCTTTTCCTTGCACAGCCGGTGCTCCGTCTCCAAAGTCCCTGAGCACGTGGTGCTCACCAGTGTCACCACGGTGCTGCCCTGAGCGAGGGCTGCCCTGGTGGCGGCAGGGTGTGCAAGCCTTGGGCTTGCTCCTCTGGCTCCTGGGGGACCCACCTCCTCGTGGAGACTGCTGGATGCAGGGGGGAGGCTGGGGCTCCAGACCTGGTTTTCTGCCTGTTTAACTCTGGGCAAGTGACTTCCCTTCTCTGAGCCCTGTCTCCTAAGCAGGATTGATGGGAGGATTAAGCATGCTCGAGAAAGCGGAAAGCCTTTTGTAGATTGGGAAGTGTCATGGATAGGATTATCATATTCCTCTCGAGTGGCTGTGCCCCACGGTACCATCCATCCCCATCGTCCTTCCGCAGCCTGGCCTTCCTCCCAAAGATCCCCCTCCCACCCAATCACAGGCCTTCCCTGGAGTCTGCTGCAAGGGTCCCGGCAGGTATTCCCATCTGGCCGAGTGGCTCCGGCTAAAGCCCAGTTGTTCTGAGGCCCGGGCGAACTAATCTGGGTCCATCCAGCCTTCTCCCAGCGGGAACAGGCGCCTGGTGCACACACCATAGACTGGACTCTGTTGGCTTTCTGGTGTGATAGAACACTCTCCATGTGGCCATTTGGCATGGAGGCCAGCAGCCTGAAGCAATTGTAATTAAAAGCCTGGCACTGAATGTTCCCTTTCCTTGTCATTGCACAAAATCTGTGCTGCCTAGGTGAGGAGAGAGAAGGTGGGGAAGCTTGGGGGAGGGGAGCAGACAGGCAGCACTGGAATGCTAGTATCTGCTGACCGCTCCCACCCCCCACCCCCAACACACTGGATCCCAGAGGGGCTCCTAGCCAGGATTCAGAGCGCACGCGGTGCCGCCCCCTCAGGCGGTGCCAACCCTCCAATGCCCAGGACCCAGATCCTTGCCACATCTGTCCGCTTCTGGGCCTGGCGGCCTCTGGGAGGTAAGGGAGATGGCGGCAGCAGTGTGCGGGGCGGGGAGCGGTGGGCAGACAGCAGGGTTCACAGACTGATTTACTGTTACCTTCCCCTTCTTGGAAATCGGGCTCGCATTTACTTTCTCTGAACTCACAGGATAAAAAGAGAAAGCCGCAGACATGCTCCGTCTGCCACCAGGATGATTAGAGGGCTGCCAGAGGCCCCGATCCCCGTTGCCAGAGCAGGAAGTGGAGTGCAGTCTGAAGCACCGCTCTGCTGAGAGGGTGGGAGGCATCTGGCAGGGGCCGGCTCGGCCGTGCGCACCACCGGCTCTGCTTAACTTGATTAATGGAGCTTCGGGCTCCCTCTGACCTCACCCGTCCAGAAATGGGGCGAAGGCACGGTCCTGCCAGGGGCCCAGCCCGGGAATGCTTTCACACCCCTCCTCTTAGACATCACGCTTTCCAAGAGCAGGTGGAAGGTACGGCCTAAGTATGTCATCCACCCCTTGGATGACTCACCAACCTGGCGCTCGTGGCCATTTTCACAGATGTGCGGTCATTGCCAGGCGGGACGGGCTGCCCTCTCCTTCCGCACTCCCGCTGGCCTTAGGATCCAAAGCTGTGTGTGGAGTTTCGTGTAGCCAGGCTCGGAGGTCCAGTGGGCAGAGTGAGGTGTGAGGGCTGGACCCGAGCTCGGAACCACTTACCCACAGGGACCAACCCACGGGGACGAACCCAGGCCTGGGGCTCCTCGGCCCTGGCCTAGCACAAGGCTGACACTATGATTGGCACCACTCTAGAGGCAGGTTTCAGTAGACACTTGGCTCAGTGGGAGCAAAGAAACAACAGAAGCTTCCCCTAATGGCCTCATTTCTACTCTACCCTGCTGGCTGAACTTAGTCCCCTGGTGGGCCCGAGGCCTCCTTTTGGGGGGGATTCGGATGAGCTGGAGAAAATTCAGAGGACCAGGATACCCAGGTGAGCAGTGCTCAGGGAAGAGCTGCTGAAGCACCCGGGACCACCCAGCCCAGGGAACGAAGGCCCGGGGGACACATGGTGGCACGTTCCAGGTATCTAGAAGCTTGGCATGCAGAAAGGGGTGATACAGGTTCTGGGTGGCCCAAGACAGAAAACCATAGTCATGGGTGGTGTTTTCAAGGTGGCAGGATTTGGCATCCCATCAGGAAGAAGTGCTGCTTGTCGAAGAGGAAGCTTGTTTCCTGGAAGGGCACTGAGCTGTCCCCGGAGGATGGCAAGCAGAGGCGGGACTCAGGGTGGGGCAAGGGGGAGATCTAGCCCCGGGTGGAGGCTGGTCTGGTGCCAGGATTCTAGCACATGGCAGCCCAGGGGACAACAGGGCTGAACTGGCTGAGCCCGGCAAACCTATTGGGCTCACTGAGCTGCTTCCCCCAAGCACCCAGTGCAGGGACAAGAGCTTTCTTATCTTCATCACCCAAAGCAAAAGGATTATCACACTGGTGCCCATGATAAAGTCCCCCAACAAACCAGAATGTCTGGTGTCTTAGCTTTTGATTGAAATTCTGTCAGATCACTACAGACATTTGGTGTAGACTGGTTATCATGCTGATCTAAGGATCTAGCTGGCAAGCACAGATGTCTGTGCTTAATAAAAATGGGGGGAAAGTTATGACTTAATAAATGCAGTTTGTCTGTAAGATAAAACTAAGGCTTGAGATAATGAAAAAGCCATGCTGTGAAAAGTTTAGGGCGGCTGCCCGTAGCCTACCACGCCAGCCCGAAAACCGTTATCAAACACAGCTGGCTTCTTGAAGTGAACCCGGCCAGTCCCTACATTTCAACTTCACCCTGGCAAATGGCACCAGCCCCACGTGGGCCATGTCCCCCCGAGACACTTCTTTCTGCATGGTGTGGTCTACGCTATGTACTTACATACGCGGTGAACGAGGAAGAGACGAGTGGCCGAATGGGCACGCACACGGGGGTGTGAACTGGAGCCAGGAAGTGTGACGGAAAACGCGGAACTCCAGAGTTCTGTCCTTTTATTGAGCTTACAGTTTCACTGAACTTTTGGCCCCGAAAGAAAAAACACACAACTTAAAAAAACAGCATTGGCAGTGGGAGGTGACAACTGTCCCCTGGGGATTGAAGCCGAGCAGAGAATGGCAGGCAAGTGAGGGGTCCGAGCTGCAGAGGGGTAGCCTGGCCAAGGGTGCCCAGAGAGCAGGCGGTCCAAGCCCCCGAGCAGGGCCAGCAGCCAGGCAGCTACAAGACAACACACGGGGATTTGGGGACACGGGGTGGTGGAATCCAAGCCACTTGGTCCCGCGGACAAACCTCCCTCGTGCTTGGTCAGCTTCCACTTTGGAGAAACTGGGTTCATCTGACAAGACGGTATGGGTGAAGGGACTCAGGTGCTAATGGCATGAGGCTGATGATCACTTACCCCTGGTGTCAGGGTGGAGAAGTGACAGCTAGAGGCTAGAGCCCAGCGGACTGGACACTAACTGGCATCTTCTGCTCCTGGCACGAGGCTGGGCCATTGAAATACTCAGGGCTCCAAGGGCATTCAACGTCCAGTCCTCTCTTTGGCCACCTCTTGTGTGGCCTCAGCCTAGGTCCCCGCTATTTGGTGACTGACACAAGACTCCCAGCCCTCTTCGGGAACAGCGCTGCATCAGGCAAGGGAGAATCTTTTTCTAGGAGGGACAGGAAAAGCGGAGAGGCCCGCACGCCTCTCCCGCTCTAAGGGGCCAGGAAAGGCCCCTGGTACACTCCACTCTACAGATGGGCTGGGTCATAGCATCCGAGAAGCTGTCATGGTGACGAAGTCCTCGAAGCTGAGCCGAATGGTGCCCTGTACAGCTGTGTCCTTCTCCCGGAAAGCCTCGGTCAGCACCTGCAGCTGGGTGCACACCTGGATGAAGCGGTCTAGCTGCATGGTGGGGTTGGCAGAGCGCGGGCAATAGCGGGAGACCAGGAGCTGGGTGAACTGGGGGCTCAGGTTGTAGCCCATTTGGGACAGAGCTGCAGGGGAGGGAGGGGCACAGAGAGCAGACACAAAACCTTACCACGGGCACCACCATCCACCAGCTCCGTGGAGCACGGCAGTGCAGGGGACTTGGAGGAGATGAGCGCCAAAACGGAGAGGACAGAGGTCCCTAGGGTCTGTCCAAGATGGTGGGAGCACAAAAGGGGCTCTAGCTGGATGGTGCCCTTAGCTGGAAAGCTCCCATCCCTTTCTCCAAATCTCCACTACTGCCTGTTCAGTCGGGGCCACGGGGTCCCAGAAGGACACGGGGCTAGCTCTTCTGTGACTCATGTGCATTACAGAAGGAAGCCCGCGCCCCCGGGACCAACCTTCCCGGGGCGGACATCAGAGGCGGTACGACAGAGTAGACATGACAAAGGCCTGCTCCGTAGTCGAGACAGCCCTTCAGCAAGTTGCTTACCCTTGCTAAGCCCCTGTCTTATCATCCCTAAAATGGGAATAATACTTACCTTGTAGGTTCTAGTAAGGATTAAAGGAGGTGATCCTATAAAGCACTTGGCGCAGTGCCTGACACATAACAACACTTTGTTATTTGTTAAAAATAATCAAATCGTCTTCCTCTCCCCAGGCGAGGCTGCTGGGCAGTTCCAAGGTCACGGCCTGAGTGCCGCTCTCTGTCCCTCCACCTGGGAGGCTTCCTTTGTTCCTCTCTGCACATCTACCAGCCCAGGCTAAAAGCTCCCCTTTTGCTACGTGGCCCTTGGGGAAGTTGCCTAAACTAAGCCTCAGTTTTCTCACCTGTAAAGGGGCAATAATAAGAGATCCCTCACCTAAGAGTGGGGAACAGTAAACAGTAGCTATTGCACGGGCAGAACAAGTGATGTAACATATCAGAAGTGCTTCATACAGTGCCTGGCACACAGCAAGCGCTCTGTAAGTACCGATTTTGGTGTAAACGTCACCCTCACCAATATCCGTGACAGGACCCAGCATGATCAGTACAGGTCATCTCTGTTTCCTTCAACCAGGGCACAGACATGGTGAGCTCACCCCCACCCAGAGCTCCTCAGTCTGACTGAAATCCACAGTCAAGCAAGGAAGGGGCCAGGTTCTCAGGAAGCCCTTTCCCCCTCCCAGGTGGCAAAGCTCCCTGTCAGATTCTTATCACCCCACTAACCACCCATCTTGTAGAGTCCGAAATGGAACCAGACCTGGAGCTACGGCCTCAGGCCATCTTACCCGAATGCAACTTTTAGCGTGGTCTGGATCCCAGGGTTGGGAAGGAAACTGCCTTCTAGCAGAGCTGGTAACAAAAACCACCTTTCTGAGTCCTTGTACAGGGCTCTTTCCATTCTGCATGCTAGAAACTAGAGAGGAAAGAGCCACACAGGCCACACACACTGGTCTCAAAGTGCCCTGGGCCGCCGAGCTCCCATCCCCGAGGCTCCCTGCTGGCTGGTCTCTCTCATCTAGTGGTACCAGGAGTCCAGCCCCGATCCCGGAACCAGGTGCCCTCTTGCCCTGGATCTTGGCTCAGTGCCCCAGCCTGATCACAGAAGGGATGGGGAAGGGATCCGTGCTGAGTTTTAGAGTGTAGGTGGACATGTGGGAGTCAGAGGCTAGAGAAAACCCCCTTCCCTGCATAGGGAGTAAATGGAAAAGTCTAGCTCTGCCTGTGCAGAGTCCCCACCGTGGCCCTCACCTTGCTGCAGCTCAGTGTAGCTGATGGAGCCCGAGCGGTCCCGGTCATACTGCTGGAAGAGGTTCTTCCACTGCTGGATGAACTTCCACAGAGCCGAGAAACCATAGATGTCGATGCGGCCTGACTTTGTCTTGTCAAACATGTCTTGGGTGGAGACGGGGTGGAGGGAAGAAAAGCTTCAAGACTGAGGGCCGAGGGTCCGCGGGTACAACCCAGGCCAGAGTAGGAGACTCCACAGAGCCACGGGCCCGAGGCCCAGATGCTTGTACCTGAGACACACTCTCATCAAGTGTTGACCAGCCCCTACCCTTGGCCACCCTCAGCTCTAGCCCTTCCAGAACTGCGTATTCTCTGTACGCTTGGCAGCTGACCACCTCTGTGCCATCTGCTACCAGGGTAGGGGGTCCCACTCTGCAGAACGGAAAACGGCATGTGACTCAGCGGGGTCCGGAACTTGAGAAAAGATCTCAGGGAAGGAGCTCTCAGTCTAGAGGATCTCACCTTGAACCCAACTTCCTGCCTGAAATCCTCCCTGGCAGGAAGATTTCTCTTCAGAATGGCTGCCCAGCCACCATCAGGTCTCAGGTGGCACTGCCCCAGCTCGAGCCCACGGGGAAGGGCTAGGACTCACTTATCATCATGAGGCACGTCTCGTCGTTGAACGAGGACCAGTTGGAGTTGACCAGAGCCTGCTTCAGCTCCTTGATGGAGATGTAGCCACTGTGATCAGAGTCTACGGACTGGAACCAGGAGTAAGCCTCAGGATCCACGTTGGGAGGAACACCACCTGCAGGAAGGGGTGCAAGCCAGAGGAATTAGTCACAGGTCTCAAGGCCAGTGTGAAGAAATACTGGGGAGGGCCGGCCTCGGTGCCTCGCTGGCGATGGGTTTTCCTTACCCACAAAGCCTCACAGGTCCACCGACCCCGTCTCCCCTTAAGCCAACAGCCTTGTTCTCATGGAAGAGGACCTTCGGTGCAGACTCAACGAGTATTTGCAGCCGGCTTCTACTCTGTGAACCTGCTGGGCTTTTCCTACAGTGTTCCAGTCATTTCTCTCTTTGATCTTAAGTTTCTAAGGAACAGGGACTTTCCGGCTGACTGAGAATTCTCTGCAAAGAAGGATTATCTCTTCCCCAAAGACCGGCAACCCAAAAACATTTGCTGAGCAGCTACCAGGCACAGCCCAGGGATGAATATTTTGAGAGTCACAGCAGCAAGGGGCCCTCTGGTGTGGGAATCAGGTCTGATCCAGGTCTGATCTTCCTGGCATGGTGACAGCTGACATATTCTATCAGGAGTCACCAGAGTGTGCGTGGCCACAGAACTCTACCTCTTCTTGTTCCCCATCACCTCCAACGCGAGGACCCATCCCCAAACCTCCCTGGAGACATCTCTGACACCTCCTCACCCCCACACACCCAGAGAGAGCTGCCCGGTTCTGTGAGATCCACACACAGGTGCCTCCTCCCCGTTCCGACGCACCTGCACTGGTTCAGACACCTCTCACGTGGATTGTTGTAACAAACCAAAATGCCTAACCAACCCATCCTTACAGCTACTCTCTGCCACCCTGTCCCTTTAGAGTCATCTCCAAAATTAACTCAGTTCTAACCCATTACCCCTCGCCTCAACTCAAACCTCTTTCAAGGCTCCCCACCGCCTGCAAAATAAAGTCCAGCATCCTTAACACAGCATGCCAGGCCCTCCCGCAATGTGGTCCATTCTTGCCTACCTCTCGCACTCTGTCCCCCTCGCAGCTCTGTTCCAGCCGAGATGGAGCATTATATACTCACTCTTAGCCACCCCTGCTCATTCCCACAGCGGAGGCTTTGCTGCTCCCCGCCGTGTAACCCTTTCTCCCTCATCTCTCTGCATCCATTTCCTGTCTCCCTGCAACACCCAAATGAAATGCCGTTCCTTCCATAAAGCCTTCCCTATTCTTCCATCTCTGGACCGGCTTCCTTCCCCTCTCCTTTGTACTCCTTCTCTCGTTTTTTTTATTAGTTTTTAAAAACTTTATTTTTTTGAGAGACAGAGTGTGCACGAGTGGGAGAGGGACAGAGAGAGAGGGAGACAGAATCCCAAGCAGGCTCCGCACCATCAGCACAGAAGCTTGGATGCATGAACCGTGAGGTCATGACCTGAGCCAAAACCAAGAGTCAGATGCTTAACCGGCTGAGCCACCCAGGCGCCCCTGGATCAGGCTTTAGGAAGCGCTGTTCCAGGGAGTCACTAGCTGCACTGGAAAGGAGACAAAGGTGGCCACACGAGGGGAAGCCGTAGATGGCAAGCAGCGAAAGGTCTGAGGCACATTTCTCCTCTCTCTGCAGCCCTAGAGATGATCTCTGCCCTCAGGTCCTACGGGGATAAGCCTCCCAGAGAGGGGCTCCTTCCCCTGCAGTGACCTCACGTGGGCTCACAGACGAGATTTCAAAAGGACGAGGGACTCCGCCATGAAGCTGCTGGGCTGAAAGCAAACAGCCAGAAGCTCTGAGCTCTGACAAGATAAATGCCACTGCCTCGGTGTTTAGAACCCCCAAGGTGTGAGCATCTCCCTCGAGGCCGCCCGCCTGGGAACGAGCGCGAAGATGCCGCAGCCGCCCAGCGGGGCCGCTCCCTGGAGGCCGTGCAGGTGCGCCAGGGCGGTTCTAGATGCCGTGCTGCTGGCTTGGTCTCCTGGGGGTAAGCGTTCTGTGAAGAGGCTGAGTCCGTGAGGACACAGGGACCCAGGCACTCCCCCTCCCTGACCCCCTGTCTGCAGCCACTTGGAAATTTGCACTGAGCCTGAGGCCGCCCACCAGGATTCTCTGCTTCCACTGGATCTCCAAGCCCCCCTCCCCCCGCCGCCGACCTTGTCCAGTACCTCACCTTCACTATCTTTGATCTTTATTCTCCCTGCGGCATTCTCCTGCCTGTCTCAGTACCTCTCAGTGGTAAGGCCTTCGTCACACGTGCTACCCCATTACATGCGGAACACCTCCTTGCTGAGATGTCCCCAAACGAGTCCTCTTACAGCACAGTGGGTACTAAGGCCTTCCCGCCGTGCCCAGCGTTCACCTGCACCTTCTCATCGAATCCTCATTAATAATCTCATCAGGTCGTGGCATTCACCCATTTTACGCGTGTGGACGATGAGGCACAAACAGGTGAAGTGATCTGGTCAGGTCAGTACGTGGTCTGGTATCAAAAGCCCGGGTTTTCTTTTTTTTTTTAATTTTTTTTTCAACGCTATTTATTTTTGGGACAGAGAGGCAGAGACAGAGCATGAACGGGGAGGGGCAGAGGGAGACACAGAATCGAAACAGTTCCAGGCTCTGAGCCATCAGCCTGAGTCCACGCCGGGCTCGACCACGAGATCGGTGGATCGACCTGGCTGGCTAGATAACCGACTGCGCCACCCAGGTGCCCCAAAAGCCCGGGTTTTCAACAACTTCACTATCTTGCCTTTCTACACATAAGGGCCAATCTCCCTCCCCCAGAAATGGGTCCTCCCCGAGGTGCACTGCCTCCAGTTGTTTGCCGACTCCCCCGCCCCTCCCCTGTAAGAGTGCCGTACGCCCTCTCCACTGCCCGGTGGCTTGTGGAGCCCCTCCGCAAGAGGACTATCCATTCCCATCCTACTGATGGTAGGTCAGGCTTGACCAGGGGCTGTGATGGGGCCGACAGAACGCGGGTGGAAGAAGATGTAAAGAACTTCAGCGCAGGAACTTTAAGGGGCACTGTGCTTTCCTGCCAGCCCTCCCCATCTTTCCTGCACATTCGCAACGTATCTCAGGGGCTGCTCCTTCAGCCTGGACGTGGAAAGCACAGACATGTGGCTCAGAACCTCGGCAGCCAAATCCTCAGCCGCTGACACGTAAGCAAGAGTAAGTGAGTGCGAGCGAGCGATAGAAATACACGTCTGCTGTTGTAAGCCGAAGTGATTTTGGAGTTGTTGTTACCACAGCAAGTTAACTAACACGTTCCTTGTTCTGCTGTTGCAAGCTGGAGCCAGAAGCAAGATGCTAGGGAGCCAGAGACGAGACTGCCCGCACACCCACAGGAAGGGCAAGGACGGGCCCCAGATAACTCAGAACAAGGTCAGAGGCACCTGGAGTCCAAGATCCCTACTCACCTGGAGGAGGTCCCTGTCCGTAAGGCCCGGGATGCTGGGCACCGTAGGAATTCGGAGGTGGCTGGCCATAGGGACCCCCTGGGGCCGCACTACCATATAGTCCTCCTGGAGTCCCAGGATTGGGGTGTCCATAGGGCCCTCCACCAGCCGGTGGTCCATAAGGCCCCCCGGGGGCAGGACCCCCGCCGTAACTGCCACCAGGGGGTACCCCACCGCCATACTGCCCTCCACCGTGGGGGGGTCCAGGGTAGTAGCTACCCGGAGGGGCTCCGGGCGCTTGTCCTCCAGCTCCTGGGCAGCCCTGTAACAAGAGCAAAATATCCGTCAGAATGATAAGGCTGGAAACCAGCCACAGTCTGGCACTTTACAGTTACAAAGCACTGCCACTGCCACCGCCCTCTTGCAGCTGACCCCATAGGCAGGGCTGGAATTATGATCTCACTGCTAAGACGGGCAACCTGAGGCTTCCAGAGAAGATAAAACTTAGGCAAGATCGTACTGTCAACGACCTGTGAAGTCAGGGCTTGCCCTCCTGGCTCCCCTTCCTCTCACGCCGAGGGGTTCCGTGGGGGCTGGGATCGTGTCTGGTTTGCCACTCGTATCCCCAGCCCCCAGTGCCGAATGGATGGATGCTCGGTAAATATCTACTGAACGAATGAGGAGCTGAATGAATCAAAATCCCAAATCCTCATCCTGTGCTACCTCCAGCCCTGTGTGGCGAATTCACGGCGCAAATGTGATTTGCACCACACACCCCGACCCTCTTCGATCACAGATGCTGTATCGGCAGCATGGCTTCCTTATTCTAGAAGAGCCTGAGACACAAAAGCATCTCACTCGTGACTCTGGGAGACAGGCAGGGGAGACCCTACTCCTTAGGCACCATAGTGCGATCGGTAAGAGGCAAAAAAGACCAGTCTGACTTCAGGCTCTGCCATTTATGAACTGGACTCATGACTTACCCTCTCTAAGCCTCAATATCCTTTGCTCTAAGTGGGAATAAAAACAGCGCCTATCCCAGGTTGGTATGTGAACGAAATGACACCGATCATGTGAAGTGCCCGACCGAGGCCCTGGCACTCAAAACACATTAACTATTAATAACAGCACTGTGCTAGGCAGGAGGAAAGCCAGGTCCAGAAAAATCACGCATAGACCACGTGGAGGGGCTGGGACCAGGACCTGGGTCTCCCAGCTGTTGAGCCCAGGCCACGTATATGGTAGCACACATACAAGGGGGTGCTCCCTCTCTTGTCCACGTCCCCACACCACTAGCCAGGGACCCACAAACTCCGAGTGTTCAGCTACAACTCCCTAAATGACAGAGGGCAGCCCCAGCACATCTGCAGACAGGCTGGGCTCAAAGGCATAGGGAGCAGCTGGGCCCAGCTCTGAGGAGGGTACCATCTGGACGTGTTCTAGATAAACCTGTAACGCACACCAGTGGACTAGCTGCTGAGAGCCTGGACTTCCTCTTTTTATTGTGTTTGGTAGCTTCTGGGGCACCTTTCCTCAAGGCTAAGGCCAAATTCACACTTCATCTAAAGGAGGTCGGCTTGCTCAAGGAAGGGAGGCTTCTTGAGGGAGGGCAGGAAGAGGTCCTTCCACCTTCCCCACTCGGCATCGTGGGGGCTTTTCCACCCTGGAAACTGCCAGAGCTAGCAGCAAGGCTCCTTCACGGTGAAATCACAGACCAATCTCAATTCCAAACTCTGCACTCACCAGCTGAGTTCTCACCGTGGGCCACTGGCTTAATCTCCCAGTGCCTGTTTCCTCACAAGTAAAATATAATAATCTCTCCCTCACTGGAAGGTTCTGCTGATTACAAGAAATACATGCAGCAGAATTTTGTCAGTTTAACTCTTAGCTAAAGACTCTTCTGATAAAATGTAATTTTAACAGATAAAAGCAAGTTGCTTTGGTAGAAGCGAGGTGGGGGTTTTAGAGCCCCGACCATGCTGGCCCCCTCTCTTGTCAGATCCTGAGGGAGCTCTGTAGAAACCTTATGGTGACTCGAAAGACAGTTTGAAAACCACTAAAGTGGGGCGCATAGGTGGCTCAGTCGGTTGAGCGTCCAACTTTGGCTTAGGTCTCACGGTTCATGGGTTCGAGCCCCGCACCAGGCTCTATGCTGACAGCTCAGAGCCTTCGGATTCTGCGTCTCCCTCTCTCTCTGTCCCTCCCCTGCTCTCACTCTGTCTCTCTCTCTCAAAATTAAACATTAAAAAAAAAGAAAAAAGAAAAAAAAGAAAACCACCAATGTGAGAAAAAGAGTTCTCACAATAGTGCCTGGCAAAAGCAAACGATCTATAAATCTTGGCTGTTGTTATTATTATATTAATTATCATCGGCAAAGCCCTGGACCAGATAAATTCTTGGGGGGCGTGTATAAAGAAGCAGAACAGTCTGAAGGAGCAGTTAACTGAACAGTTAACTGAAGAGGCATGGAAACATTCTCCAACATCTAACAAAACAGCAGAAGGAAACGGGTGCTGCGAATGGATGCATAAGCCATGCGTCATGGGACCAGAAAGGAAAGAGGGTGAGATCAGGGGAGTTTCCAGGAGAAAGCCGCATTTGAGCTGGGACAAAAAGAAGGGAGTTGGAGCAGTGTGATGGGAGGGGTGCCAGGAGGTGGTCATCTAACCTAACCCCTTCAGTTTACGGATGGGGTAACTAAGGAGAGGGGAAGGGAACCGCTTGAATCACACAAATCACACAAATCACACAAATCACACGGAGCTGGAGGCAGAGGTGGAGGCAGACCACTCCCCACCACACCCGAGCCCAGTGACTCCCAATGCCTCCTGCTACAGTGCTCTTTCCTTAAACAATAGGGCACAGGATTCCAGCGTAGGATGAGAAAAGGGGTGGGGGCCCTGCAGAGACTGGGCGCACCCAAAGAACAGGCCAGACCAAGGCAGGAAGTAGCTGCTCCGCAACAAGCCCTGTGAGCAAAGCCATAAACTGGACCTGGCCTAGGGCACCTGAGGCACAGGCCTTCCCCCTGGGAAATGCCCCCAGGCCGCCAAAGCAGGTGTCGCCAGGCAGGTCTTCTGACCCTCCTGCTGTCACATTTCAGGGGCCTGCTGGGTCTGGTGCAGTCTGGCAGCAGCTAAACCCTTTCTGGTCTGCCCTGTGTTAGAGCCTTTACCTGTGCAGTTTACAGAGCACTTAGAGAGAGAGAGAGAGAGAGAGAGAGAGAGAGAGAGAGAGAGAGAGACGACTGCTCCTGGAAGAATCCTGCCAACAGTCCTCCAACAGAAAAAGGAAGATTTTTCACACCTGTGAAATGACTTCATTCAGCAAGTATTTATAGAGTGACCACACCGTACTAGGTATGGGGCGGGGCAAAACTAAATAGGGCCTATCCCACTGTGGCCCATAGTGGTTATGATACAGTTTGATCCGTGCCATCAGAAAAGTCTACTTAACTGCTATCAAGGAGACATAAACAGAGTAATTTGTTCTGTTCGTTGAATGACGGATGAGCAATCAAATGAAGAAATGCATGAAGTGGATCAAGGAAGGCTTCCTGGAGGAGGCAGGAGTGATACTGGAGGCGGCCTTGAAGGATGCGCGCGCATTCCCTAAAAGGAAAGCAGGAAAGGACATTCCAGACAGGAGGGAGAAGATTGATGAAGGCACACATCTATGAGTGAGCACAGAGAGGTGGGGGAATGGCCTGAAAAGCAGGGGCGGGGACAAGAATGCAACGTGAACTCAGGAAGGCTGGCTCTTTACACGCTCCTTGACCAAGCTCCCCTCCTGCTGCATTTCTGTTAGCTGGTGAGTTACTGGTGTCTTAAGGTATTTTCTGTCTGTCTCTGCCTCCTCCATGCAACAGTGGGCTCCCCGAGGCCAGACACTGGGCCTCATTCATCATGGTACCCAGGGTCCAGCACAGTGCCTGGCACCTGCAAGCCTCCATAAATATTTGAACAGATGAATACCACTCTAAAGAGTTTGGGCTTTATGCCTGAGGACACAGAGCGCCACAGAAGGGTTTCCAATGGAGGAGGGACGTGATCAGAGCGTTGTTTAGAGAATTAACCAGCAGCGGGGTGGAGGATGAGCTAGCGGGGGAGGCAGCAGCCCAGGTGCTAGGCAGGCAGGGCTTGAACCAGACAGCGGACTTAGACATGGGGCGAGCAGGATGGGTTCTGAAGCTATTTCGGAGATAGGCTAGACATGACTTGACGACTAATTCGATTAGGGAGTAGATGGAGGGGGAAGGAAAGGGAAGTGTTTAGAATGACTCAGGTTTCCAGCGTGTACCCACGAAGAACTGGAGCCTCCAGGCTGCGGAGGAAGTTTGGGGAAGATGGTTTCCAGGGTCATGGAGTTGTTAGCGAAGGTCTGAACCAGACATGAAAACCGGAGTCCCTGACTCCCTGTTCTTTTATGCTACTCCATGCTGCCAACCCTTTTGAGGCTTTTTCCGAGAGCATTTCATGCTGATCAACACAAGACTGTGAAAGAAAGAAAAAGACGGGAGAAGTCCTGCAACCACGGTTCCCAAAGCATCACAGAAAACTATCCCTAGGTCTTTACTAAACGCAAATAAACATTTGACATACTGGGGCAGGGAAGGGGCAATTCACATCGTACTGAGGTTCTGCTAGGTGCTTCCAGTTCAACTGACCCTCACTGATCCTCAGTCCTGTGAGGAAGGGCTATTGCCCCCATTTTACAGATGAGAAAATTAAGGTACAGAGTTTACTAATGTGCCTGGGACAAACAACTAGAACAGAGGAGCTGGGATTCAAAACGGGGCCTCTACTCTACCACCCTCTGCTGTGTTCACTCAATTGTGACTGAACAGGGACTGTCCTCCATGTAACTGTCAAATACGAGGGGTTTCTACAGTGGACAGGGCTGAAGCGGGAAGGTGGACTGGGTGATCTTTCAGACGCTTCAAGCCCGGAAATCAGGACTCAGAAGAATCTTACTCTTTTTCCAGCCCAGCGCCCAGACCTGATTTGAGAAGCACAGGACTGTAAGAGACCCCAAAGGCCCTCCAGTCCAACCTCTCAGTAGGTGATGGAATCTCTGCTGCACCATCTTGAACCTCTGTTTGCATTCACGCAAGTAGTGGGGAGCTCAGCTCCCCCTACAGGACCGACTCAAGAAGCTCTGTGTTTTCCTTCGGCTCTGAGCATTCATTCATTCTTCTACCCCCAAGACCCTCGTGGAGTTCGGAGATATCAAAGGCGGGTGCGTGCCGAGTCCTGAGGGGGTAGGGAGTAGGCAGGCTGCCTTGCAAACGGAGGCCTGTGCTCTGGGGCTGTCCCTCAAGTGTCTGCTGGAGGAGGCGACAGCCCATTCTAAGGGGTTAAACAATCAAGAAGACAGGAGTGGTCTGGGCATTCACCAGCAGAGCCTCCTAAAATATTTAAAAGGCCAGAAACCTGCAGCCAATAGACAGTGGGCCAAGAACTGTCCCAAGACTTCAATTACCGCCTCGGTGCTGACACTCCAAAATCGTCTGTCCAGTTCCATCTCTCCTGAGCTGCAGACCCACATACCCAACAACCTCCTGGATCTTCTCTCCAAATGTATCCCTCCCTCTGTGTCCCCATCTCAGCGAACAGTACCTCCCACCCAGTCACCCAAACCTGAAACCTGAAACCCCAGTGCCCTCCTGGGCACCTCCTCTTTCCTCCCCTCCATCACCCCAATTAGGCACTGAGTTTTCTCAATTCTACCTCCCAAACGCTTCTCAAATCCATTTCCACCAGGTCGCCGTTCTCTGTAATCAAGTTTGCTTCAACCACTTTGAAACTGGTCTCCCTGCCTCGTCTCTCCTACTTCAGTCCATTCTCACAGTGCCCCATGGTGCCAGCTCCAAAGCACAAAGGAGAGACGACTCTTCAACAGCTCCCCTCATTAGTCAGGATGAAGTCCGCACTCCCTTGAAAGGCATACAAAGTCCTTTAGGATCTGGTCCTTGCTTACCTTTCTGGTCTCATTTCTTAGCCGTTCCCCCCTCTTCACTACATATCGATCTCCTGAAATTCCTCCAAGATATCAGGCTCTCTTTTCCCGACCTTTGTGCACGCTAGTCCCTCGTTTTCTTCACTCAACTAATGCCGATTGGGGATTCAGCTTTTGGCTTAAATGTCACCCCCTCTAAGATTTCCTCACCCCCAGACTTAGTTAGATGTCCCTCCTGTGCTGTCCTAGTGCCTTACACTTACTCCCATTTAATACTTATCACGCCGATTCTACAATTTATCCATCTGTATCACTCTTTCCTTGGAGTATTTACTACATGCCAAACACGACGCCAAGCACTTTACGTGGATTATCTCCTTTAATCTCTACAGTAACTCTTGAGGTAGGTTCTCTTATGACCCCATTTTAAAGAAGGGAAAACTGAGCCTTGGACTTTTGCAAGAAACTTCTGCAAGGAAATGGCAGAGCAGGGATGTGCAGCCAAATCTCTCAGCCTCAGAGACCAAGCTCTTACTCACCAAAACCCATCAAGGCTGCCCCCCTCCCACCCAGGACCAAAGAAAGGGTCCTTGAGTTTTATGACTTTGACTCCCAACACCCAGTCCATGCTTGAGGACCCCACGGCTGGAGGCAGTGGCAAATGAGAGGAGTTTTGACTCCCAACAATAGGATGGAATCCTCCAGGGCCACGTACTTACTGGGTGAAGCGGGGCTGGTGTTAACGAAGCCTTTGGATGCTCTAAAACAACCAGGCACTTTCTTGGAATACCCTGGACCAGGAGGGACAGGCAGAGAAGGGTATAATGGGGGGGATAAAAGCATTTCTTCTTCTATTCTAGACACATTTCTCTTCGGGCTCCTCTTCAGTATTTCACTCTGAGCATAAGCCCAAGCAGCATGGTAACAGCAACTGCGGGAGCAAGAGCCATCACCAGGCCCTGCACACCCTTGGTATCAGCAATGTGCCAAGCTCCCTGCAGGCTTCATCGTATTTTGTCTTGATTTCAGCCCTATGAAGGCAGAATCTTCCCTTTTTTTTTTCCAACTTTT